TTACTCTCTCACTTGTTTTGGGGAACCTGTGGAGTGGAGATGTTATGAAGAGGGTGCTGTCCATGTCTGTTTCTGGTGCATACACGTTCACATTTGTCTTGACCACATGTCTGGGAGCAGAAACTACGAGGCCACAGACATGCATCCTTAGCTTCAGGAGGCTCCCACTTGTCATCCTGGCGCTATGGGAGGCCGGGGTGGGAGGATCACTTGAACCTAGGAATTGCAGTCCAATTTGGGCTACCTGCTTCTACAATAAATGGAAAAGTGAAGTAGCTGGGTGTGGTGTGTGTGTCTGCAGTCCCAGCTACTTAGGAGGCTGAGGTGGGAGAATCACTTGAGTCTAGGAGGTTGAGGGTTCAGTGAGCTACGAGAGCACCACAGCACTCCAGCCTGGGAACAGAGCAAGACCTTGGGGCGAGGGGGAAAGAAAGAAAGGAAGGAAGGAAGGAAGAAGTCAAGTGGCAATAGAACTAATTATAAAAATCAAGTGAAAAAAAAGCAATGTAATGAAATAATCACAAATTAATAAGAAAAAGGGAAATGACAAAGATACTGGCAGAAATCAGTGAAATAGAGAATAATTAATATGTGTAGTAAAAGCCAAGGATAATGTTTTGAAATGATATGATTTTGATAATATTGAGCAAAAAAGAGGAAAATATAAATAAAAATAGAGACAAAATAGAGAACCGCAGATGGAAAGGATAAAAGAAACACACTGAGCAGCCATGTTCCACAGTTGTGAATTTCAGGATCATTTCAAAGAAAAACAAAACGCCAGAGCTGGCACCAGAAGAACAGAGGGAACCGGGAGAGGCGGGTGTGCCCGTCCCAGGGTTCCCCAGGTAGACTGTACCAAACTCAAGGAACGGTTCAAGCTTAACTCAAACTGTTAAGAACGTAGAGAAGGGGCAAAAGGCTGGTATAAGCCGGATTCCAAAACCAGCTAAACATCATCTGGCCTTTTGCCTGCTCAGCTGCCGGGTACAGTTTCCAGACCAAACCGAGGGGTGGGCTCCTTACTCTCTCCGCCCAGTAACACTAGATGCAGGTGAACCAGGAGACTTTTTATTTCAGTAACCGGTTCCAGGGAGAGGGGCTGGAAATCATCACCAAACCAACTCAAAATCACGTTTTCCAGAGCTTGCATACCTTCTAAGCTATATGTCTACAAACAAGTGTGCATTCATCTAAAGACATAAGTGACTGACTTCTTCTAACTGATAAGCACGGTCTGAATCCTGAAGACCTGCCTCTGGAGCCTCGGTGAACTGACTTCGATTGAGTCCAGGTGCCGGGGTGCTACCCTTATCCGGTCTCCTGCTAAGTCACGGAAGTTTGGGGTATTTCTTCAGTCTCCAATAAAGCCTGTTTGTGGAGGCCTGGGGAGTTTCTTCAGATCCTCCATAAAACTTGTTTAATCCTAAATGAGTCCTGTTAAGAATTTCTTCCTTATTTTGTCATGTTTCCAGGCCCAGAAAAGGCCCAGGCAAAGCTCCCGGTAGGCTTTTGTTACAGTACAGCCTTTGTATAGGGCACTGGCTCTTTCAGCTTTTAATATGTAACGTCACCACTTGGCATGGAAACACTTGTGGCGGAGCCTGCGTTAGTGAGACCTGGCCTGCCACGGTGCCATTCCCAGTGTGCCTGGCACAAAACAATACACAGACAGCAGCTCATGGAGGAAACTATCCTAAATAAAATATTAGCTTGCCACATCCAACAGTGCATGCTTTTAAAACTGCACATGGCCGAGCAGTGCTTGTCTGTGAGTGCGAGGCACGCACATTGTGAGAATTTCTGTTGTCTGTTCATTTCCCAGACTCAGCAGCCGTGGCACTCAGATGCTGCCCTTTTGACACAGCCCTGGGTACCCTGGGTTGCTTAATGAGAGTGTCAGATTATTTTACGATTACTGCAAGTATTACCTGAAGCCACTGGAGTCAGCCAATTCCTGCCTCGTTCCTGACAGTCGCAGACCCCACCGCTGTCTTTGAGGAAGCAGGGGGCATACAGCCTGCTGTGTCCACAGGACACCAAGGTGCAGGGATGTCTGGTGACTTGGGGACACTCATTGTAGGTGACAGAGTGTGACCCTGTGGCCCTGGGCCAGGTACCAGTGCCCGGGCTAGATAGAGACTTGGCCAGAGGCTCCCAGAAATTAACAGCCACATTTCCCAAGCCCCGGATGTGCCCCCATGGGGGCCGGGTGCCCCGCTGCCCCTTGCTGGAAGCTTGCATGTGTCCTCAGCCGGAGGCCTTGGCCATGTGGTTGTGGGTGTCGCCGTGGCGCACAGTGGGGAGGGGCAGTGGGAGCTGGGCTGCTGGAGACCCAGTCAGAAGGTGCAGGATGGGAACTGCTGACCTGCAGGGTGGCCTGGCTCATGCTCGCTTGATTCCTTAGAACCAAGAATTGCCACTTCGTGGGTCTTCCTCACAGGAGAGCCCAGTGTCCCTGGTGAGGTCCACACAGGTGCTCAGTCCATGCTTTCGGCACTGCCCTGTGAGCTGCCCTGAGTGACAGGATGCCTCCAGCTCTACTTTGGGGTCCCAGTCCCTGGCTCTGAGTACCCATGCCCAGCTAGGGCTCTGGATTCTGCTATCTTCTGTCCTCCTGAGTCCTGAGGGGATGAGAGTTCTGCACACCCCCCACCCTGCTACTCCAGCACCCCCGTCTCCCTTCATCACCTGCTCTGGGCTCCCTTCCACCCCAGCTCTGGCTGCCCCTGCACCTGATGTGCTCCCCCCCCAGTGTGCTCCCCTCCAGTGTGCTCCACCGCAGTGTGCTCCCCCCACCTGACGTGTTCCACCTGGAGTGCTTCCCATCTCGACCGGGAGTTCTTGCCCCACCTGGAGTGCCCCCCTACCTGGAGTGCCCCCCTACCTGGAGTGCCCCCCCGCCTGGAGTGCTCCCTTGCCTGGAGTGTCCCCCTGCCTGGAGTGCCCCCCACCTGGAGTGCCCCCCCTACCTGGAGTGCCCCCTACCTGGCGTGCCCCCCCCACATGGAGTGCCCCCCTACCTGGAGTGCCCCCCCCGCCTGGAGTGCTCCCTTGCCTGGAGTGTCCCCCTGCCTGGAGTGCCCCCCACCTGGAGTGCCCCCCCTACCTGGAGTGCCCCCTACCTGGCGTGCCCCTCCCACATGGAGTGCCCCCCTACCTGGAGTGCCCCCCCCGCCTGGAGTGCTCCCTTGCCTGGAGTGTCCCCCTGCCTGGAGTGCCCCCCACCTGGAGTGTCCCCCCTACCTGGAGTGCCCCCTACCTGGCGTGCCCCCCCACATGGAGTGCCCCCCTACCTGGAGTGCTCCCCTGCCTGGAGTGCTCCACTGCCTGCTGTCCTTCCTCCAGATGAGTGCAGAGCTAACTCCTCACCTTCTTAGGTCCTGCCTGGCCAGTACCTTCTAGGGGTCCTTCCACAATCACCCCATTTTGATCTCTCTCTTCTCGTGGTGTCTTATTTCTAGGGTGTCTGTCACTGTTGGTTGCACCCACGCTGTTGACTGGCCATCCCCCGTGACATGGGTGCTGCTGAGAAAGGCCTGTATCTTCCGCATCCCGGTGTCTCGGCCCCACCAGTGGGAACCTCAGCCCTAAGCCACCAGCATGTGTGCCCAGGTGCCATGCTGGGCTCACTGCTGTGGCTGGGGCCCTCCCGGGGGCAGAGGTTGGGCAAGGAGTGTGTCCAGGAGGCTGAGTCAGGGCTGGCAAATGGGCCAGGTGCCTGAGGCAGGCCAGGTGGAGTCTGAGAAACAGGGCGGCTTCCGCCTGATCAGGCAGGAAGGGGCTCCTGTGAGCGGTGTTTTGTGGCCGGCGGGGATCCTGGGGCAGGCTGTCCTGGGCCGCTAGACGCTCCCTAGGTTCTGGCCAGAGTCCCATCCTCCTGGAACTGCTGACTCTTGACAGACACCTCCTCACCAGACACAGAACCCAGCGCCTTGATCTCAGGCCCACCACCTTCTAGAAGGTCCCAAGAACACCAGGACCCAGGTGTGGAGGTGTTGCCCTCAGCCTGCAGAGCTGGAACAGGAGCCTCCAGTCCTGCCCTCCCCAGTGCCTGGCTCCCTCTCCATCCTGGGCCTGGGCCCTTCGTAATCCATCACCTGGGGGCTCCCGCCATGCCCTGGGTCTGGGTCCTTCCTGATCAATCACCTGGGGGCTCCCCCTATACCCTGGGCTTGGGTTAGGCATTAATCACCCGAGGAGAGGGCTGGAGTCAACCCAGGGCTTCAGGATTGAGCAGGGGCACAGCTAGGCTCCTTAAGGTGAGCACAGGCTGCCAAGTGAGCCGTGCGGACCGTCTCCAAGTGGGTGCAGTGTGGACAGGCTCTGGGGGTCACTGGGCACGGTGGGTGGGCTCCATCCTGCAGAAGCACTGGGGGTCACTGGGCACAGTGGGTGGGCTCCATCCTGCAGAAGTACTGGGGGTCACCGGCATGGTGGACGGGCTCCCTTCTGCAGAAGTGCTGGGGGTCACTGGGCACGGTGGGTGGGCTCCATCTTGCAGAAACGCTGGGGGTCACTGGGCATGGTGGACGGGCTCCCTTCTGCAGAAGCGCTGGGTCTCACTGGGCACGGTGGATGGGCTCCCTTCTGCAGAAGTGCTGGGGGTCACCGGGCACAGTGGACAGGCTCCATCTTGCAGAAGTGCTGGGGGTCACCGGGCACAGTGGACGGGCTCCATCCTGTAGAAGTGCTGGGGATCACTGGGCACGGCCTCTGGCACCCACAATGGCTATGGGGGAATAAGTCTCATGAACTAGGAACTGGCATTTTGGTGCCTGGGCAAGAATGGCATTTTTGTGTTTGTCATTTTAAGTAGTTTTGCCAAAGTACAAATGGAAGAGCTTATGCGTGTTTCGGAAGGGGAATGAGATCGCATTTGTGTGTGAGAAGAAGCCCAGGCTTATCTGATAAGCACATGGCTCAGGGCATTGTCCCCCCAGGGGCAGTGTGTGTGGGGACCTGGACACACTGGGGATGCAGAGACAATCCAGAGCCGGTGAGGAGGGGCCACAACATTTATTGAACTCAGGCGCACAGAGGGGTTCACTGGCGCGTTTGTGCTCTCCAGCCACCCTGGAAGACTCTGAGGGGACCCCAAAGGCCTCCGCAGCACGTGGCATCTCTTGAAGGCAGGGCCCCAGCAGGCTCCGCCCTCCACCCCACTCCTGGGGTCAGGGCCCCGACATCTTCCACCACCATCCTCTCCTGGCGCTCCTCACAGGTGGCAGGAGAAGCAATCCCCAATTTCAGCATACAACTTGGGGCAGAAACTTGGGCCCAGACGGCATGGGCTCTGAGGGGAAACCGAGTCGGCATGGCAGGGCTGTGGGAGAGGAGGGGTCTCGGGCAACAGTTCCGGATGGCAGAGGAGAATGGTGGACAGGGAGTGCTGTCGGGACATGGACCCAGCTCCTACGACAGACAGCTACGCTGACACCAAGGAACAATATTTCTAAAATAATTAACACTGCATGCCGGTGAATGGGCAGGCTGGAGCGTCAGTCACAAGGAACACTGAAGGGGACTGCGGAGCCTGCAGCCTCTGTGGAGAGCGGCTGTGTGCGCGGGCGTTCATCCATGGCTAGTCCTTTTGCTGATGAAGAAAACCTCTCCACTGGTATCTGTGAGGCAGGGAAGGGAGCTGTACAGTGTGAGAGCCGGGCTTGCGCTCTGGCAGGGGGTGACGTGGCGGGAGGATGCTGGGTGGTGTTAGAGCGCGCCCATCCCGGTGACCTCGGACGTCAGCCTAGAACAGACAGGCAGGAGCGGGAGAGACGGTCACAACAAACACCCTCCTCAGTGTGCAGTCGTGAGGCCGGGCTGCGAGGCCTCTGTGCTTGCTGGGACAGGTGGTGCCCGTTGGCTCAGGAGTCCTAAGCTGGAGACTGCAGCAGGGCACACAGGACTGGACCCCGGGCCTCCACCCTGCCTAGGCCCCCCAGGCCTGTCACACATCAGGAGGACCCCCCCAGGCCTGTCACAGATCAGGAGGACCCCCCCAGGCCTGCCACACGTCAGGAGGACCCAGGGCCTCCACCTTGCCCAGGCTCCCCCAGGCCTGTCACACGTCAGGAGGACCCAGGGCCTCCACCTTGCCCAGGCCCCCCCCAGGCCTGTCACACGTCAGGAGGACCCAGGGCCTCCACCTTGCCCAGGCCCCCCCAGGCCTGTCACCATGTCAAGCCACAGGGATGAAGAGAGGCCCAGCCTGACTCTGGATTGCAGCACACGCCCAGCAAGGTGCTTGTGGTAAAGTCTGGGGTGTCCTCGTGCTCTCAAGGTGGCCTCTCACCCACTCATTGGGAGTGCGGGTGGCTGAAGGGGCACCAGGATGGGGCTCCAGGGCCCGCACAGGGCTGTGTCCACCCAGAGGTCCTGCCCTGTCCCTCCCGCCAGCCCAGCGCAGACAGGAGGACGCCCCTGGGGAGGGCGGAGGGGGTGTTGCTACGTCAGAGGCCGGCAGGGGCTGGCGGTACGGCCTGCCTGGCAGGGTGGGGCACTGGTCGAGGCTGAGTGGGGCGCAGTCACAGGGCCTCAGGTGGCTCCAGACCTTCCCATGTGCAGCAGGGGCCCAGGGACTGGTCCTGCCCATCCTTACACATTTCCATGAGGAAGAAAGAGGAGGCAAAATGGCAAAGCCGCAAAACATTTATCTTTCTGGAGAGCTCTGAGTGGACAAGTCAGGCCTTCCAGGATTTTCTGCCTCAAAGAGGCAGGTGTGGCTGGCTGTCTGGGGCCACGGGAGCACCTGCCTTTCTCTCTGTCCTCTGGGATCATCACTGGAGATGCTTCAGGTGGGAGGCTGGGGAGTGAGGCAGCCTGGCATCTGTGTGGAGGCTGGCACCGTCCCAGCCAGTCCTCGCTTTCCAGCCCGGGCAGAGCGGGCAGAGGGGCAGGCAGAGTGTGGCCCAGACTCAGCCTCCTCCCACCCCCGACCATCCAGGCAACGCAATGCTGGCTGGCACATCTTTGTCCCAGCATTCAGAGGCCCTCGGAGCTGCTCACCTGGCGTTGATGAGATACTGGGCAAGGCTGATGTTGGCCGGGGTCCCCGTGATGGTGATCTGACGCTCTGAGGACCCTTCAGTGGCATTGGCGATTTTGATCTGAGCTCCAGACATCTGTCGAATTTCATTGATTTTGGTCCCTTGGCGTCCAATTATGCAGCCTATTAGCTAGAAACAAGGACGGGGGCATTTCTTAGAGAAGAGCCCAAGCCAGCCTCTGGAGACTGTGGGCAGTGCAGCCCGGGGGCTCCGGGCAGACTGTCAGCCATCTCTCTCAGAGCTATCCTGCTCCCCACTCCTGTGGGAGGTCCACCAAGCCAAGAGGCTGCAGTCACTCAGCCCGGGCGCTCCACACTGGTCCCCCTGGGGCCCAGGAGCGACCCACAGGCAGCAGCCAGGGCCTGTGTGGGGAGGCTCTGAAGCCAGCATGGCCCAGCGGCATCTACGCCTTCTTAGCAAGACCAGTTCTGCCCAGACAGGCAGCATCAAAAACGCTCAAGAAGTGTGTGCTTGAAGCCAGTGCAAAACTCACTGCTGCATATAACCTAGTTTTTTGCTGAACTTAGATGAAACTCTGAGGCCATTCAGGCACTTCCTTTCATTCCCATTTTGGGACCCCTGTTTAAAGATGGAACACAGGGCCTTCTGGCCAAGGGGGTCATCAAGAATGAGGGTGTTCCTTGAAGAAGCGGAGGGAGGAGGATGGGCATGAGGGGAAGCCACGAGGAGGCTCAGGGACAAATCGGGCCCCCAGAGAAGATGGCGCAGGAGCCAGTGGGGTCTCTCGATGCCCACCATCAGACGGAACAGAGACCCCACACACACCCACAGGCCACTGATGAGAACTCTGGAGCTTGGCCAGGAAAAAGAAGTGGCCAGACACGTGGCAAAGAGAGCCCCAGACTGGAAGGTGCCCGGCACGGGGGGCCAGGAGGGTGGCCGGGCACACAGATCCCAGATGGCCCTCAGGCGGATTCCCCTTCCACCTCCCATGAGGCTGCTGGGGTGTCACATGGTGACATGGAGTCCGTCCTCACTCAGTGAGATGCTGGATAAGGGCTGGGCTGGGCCGTGCAGCTGTGTGCAGGAGGGACGTCCACTTCCAAGCATGAGGGGGCTCAGCCTGTGGGGTGAGCAGCAGCTCTATGGTGGCACACAGGTGCCCTGCCAGCCAGCACCTGTCCCTGAAGAGACCTACAACATCTCAACTCTGCTCATCTTGGAGGCCATCTCTGCTGGTTACCTAGATAATGACAGCTGTCTCAGAACCATCAGTCTTTGTAGACATCTAGAGACTCCCACTCTAGAGAACACAAGGCTGCTGGAAGTCCTGTGTCTCCTGCTGCATCTCTGGGCTCCACCCACACCTCTCAGGCTCCACCCACATTTGCCAAGGCCCCACCCACAGTCCAGCCCTCTCCCTGCTCGCTCCTGTGTGTGGTTGAGTGTGCCCCTGGGGTCAGGAGGGTGGCTTCCTAACTCCTACATGGCCACATTCATCTGCCTGGCTGTATCCCCCTCCCTGGTGGCAGAGAGCTCTGGAGGGCTCATCTCTGATGTGGGCCAGGCAAGGTGGCCCCTGGAACCAGGGACAGCAGCACAGACCCCATGATGAGGGGGAACGTGGCTGACTCGGCAGCTTGACCGCAGGTCCCTGTAAGATGCTGACACCCAGGAGAGAGTGCTCCTGGGCTCTCATGCTGCCCGCTTCCTATACCCCTCCCTGGCCAGCGGCAGCCAGCTTTGCTTCATGGCACGTTCTGCACTGGAGTGCATGATGCCTGCTGACGCGCACAGCACTGAAAGCCTCAGTGCACAGGCACTGCTGGGTCTCTCCTTGAAGCTTGCTGGAGGAAGTATCTCCCTGCCTCTCCCACACAAAGTGCCTACCCTCTTCTCTTAACTGTCTGCTCCTGTCTTCTAACTGCCTCGCTCCAGCTGCGCCCTGGCACATGTACCCCTCCTGCCCTCACCCTGCCCTCTCCCTCTACTCCCTGTGACATGAGGCCCAGGGCACCCCTCTCTCCAGGCTCTGGAGGGCACTGCTGTTGCCACAGGCCTTTCCCCTCCTCTGCACACAGCTGTGGGGTCTGAGTGCTGATGGGACATTGTTGAGCCACCAGGGCACCCCAGCCTCACCACAGATGCCAAGGTGAACCACACTGTGACTTCTGTACTGGCACTCTCCATCGTGAGAAGGGAATGTGGGGAGGACAGACCTCCTTCACCTGCCCTGCGCTAGGCTGGCTCACTCAGTGCTGGGGAGGGTGCATGCTAGGCCGAGGCCTGCAGCCCAATGGTGCCTTCCGCCTGGCCCCACCTGCACTTGCGAACCCTGCCAGCAGTCAGCAGACTCCTCCCCACCTGCACCTGCAAACTCTGCCAGCAGTGAGCAGACTCCTGACCATCTGCACCTGCACCTGCACACCCTGCCAGCAGTGAGCAGACTCCTCTCCTCCTCCACCCTTGTGTGCCTCCATCACAAATTCAAAGAAGAACAATAGAAATATTCTGAAATAACGTGGTCCCTCCTAATCAGATGTCAATGCCAAATCCCACTGGAACTGCAGCAACACCTCCCATTGCAGCCTCTCCTCCTAGAGACCACTGTTGACACCTTACATGCCTTTCCCCAGCAGAAGGCCCAGCTGATTCTGCAGCTGAGAACCAGGGAAGGGGCATGAGCCTTGGCAGGTGGGGGCCTGTTGCTCAGGGCAAAGTGAGGGTAACCACAGGCACTAGAGCCTGCATGGCCAATAGCAAGCACTGAAGTAGGCGGTGAGGGAGGCCCATGGTGATTGTCAGGGAGCGAAAGGCCTGGGGCCCCCTGACTGGCCTGTGTCCCCAGGGGCCATGCTGGGGAGCCTGTCTCGGGCATCCCTGCTACCACATGGTGTCTTTCTACAGGCAAGCTGAGGCAGCATGATCCAATTGTGACCAAGAGACAGGTGTGGACGAGATGACAGGCAAGTTCAGAACAAGCACACACATTTTATTTCTTCCTTTTCTCCAAGAAGGTAGCAGGCAGCCAGCCAGTGAGGAACATCAGCTTTGGTGCAGCCCAGATACATTCCCCCATGAAATCTGGGGCTGGCTGTGAAAGCCCTGACCGTGCCATCAACAGCCCTTTCCATAAAGAAGCATGGAAGGCTGTGCCCAAAGTGACAGGGATAGGAGGAAGCCCCTTCCTTCTGAGAAGCAGGTCTCTTCCCTAGGAAGATCCCTAGGAGGAGGATCGCAAGTGGGTGGTGAAGAGCTGGGAAAACCAGTATCCATTTGTATGAAGGACACCCCAGGAAACAGGGTAACCAGCTCTCCAAAGATGCCTCATCCTCTTAAAGCTCATTTCCATTTTAAATGAGTGCTTGGATGAGGGCACCAAAGCTGGTGTTAGTGAACACTGATTGAGCAAGAAACGAAAAATGTCACAGGAAAAACCTGCTGGCTTTACTACCTGGAGAAGACGTAGGAGGATGCCAGAAACCACATGCTCATGGAGCCCTTGCACTGAGGGAAGGGGCAGGGAGCAAGAAGCAGAAGTCTCTTCCCTTCAACAACACAGGGACCAGGTGGCTGTGCATGCCACACCTTGGGAGATGGCTCTGTGCTGCTGCCTGTCAAGTTGGGCCAACCTCAGAAATCCTCGAGGATGCCAGAAGCCTGGACCACAATGCTGCCTGGACTGTGAGTGTCCTGAGCTTCTGTGAGCAGACATGGGGACTCTGTGCTGACCAGTGGCCAGGACAGAAGGCCTAGAGTGCACACTGCCACAAGGGACTCAAACGATGACCGCTCTTCAGGAGGGGGTCAATGGTGCTAGCCAGATGGCCTCATGGTCCTCTCCTCTGGAAACCTGCTATCTTCTGCTTCTTTTTCTCCCATTCCATTGTCCACTTCCACACACAGGACCGGTGATTTCCCTGAACTCTCAAATCTGTGCTTCCTATTGTCAGCTTGCATGAAAGGAAGGAACAGGGCTTAGACTTTCTGCCCAGCAGGTGTAAGGGGTAGAACAGTGAAGGCTCCCAAGGTCCACAGCTCTAGGGCAGAAAGGGACCCTGAACACTTGAACTGTAAATGGGGCTGCCAACTCAACAGCCCACATAGGGACTCTGCTTGCTGCTATGGCAGCTATCACTCAAGGACATGTGGCCCATGCCCTCCCTGGTCTCTCAGTTTGGGGATAAGTTAAGCATTCAGAGAATAGTCCTCCCTCTCCATAAGACCCATGCTTACTCTGGGGAGGACTGAGTGTGTTGAGGGGAGCTCGTAAGGCCACACCCTCAGGTATGTTGAAGGCATGAACAGACTGAGGGGTGCTAGAAGGAATCTAGACAAGTCGGTGATATCCAACCAACTTCAAGTCTGTTAGAGCCAACTCATGGAGAATCCCAAATTTCTTGAGGAGTTAGGGCCCATGGAGCTGATACTGAGAGTGGGTCCCCTCTAGAGCATTCCTGGGTCACCATGTTCTTCAAGGTTTGACCCTGTACCAGGGCAGTGCCTCCACAGCAACATGGGTTCCCGGTCCAACTCCCATCTAACTACTAATTAATATCTGAAGTCCCCTTTAGCCCATTGCTTATTCAGTATCTGAGGGATGTAAAAGCACATAACCTTTTACAGACATTAAATCCACTTTAAAAAGGAAAGGAGGGGAAAAAACCGATCAAACAGTGGGGTTGAGAGGGTGAAGGGATCACCCGGGGGTCTGCCCAAGGACAGCAGAGCTGACAGCCACTTTTGCCTGATGTTTCCACCTAGGGACAGGGGGTACAGGGGGCATACTCACATCATTGGGAATGGTGAGCTCGTGAGTGCTGGCTGGTGGGCTGGCGTCCAGACCTGGGCATACCAAGGGGACATGGTTAGGCTGGTGAAAGGCTGCTAACAGTCACATTCCAGTGCCTGGCCCCCACTCTCCTGGGTCAATTGAGACAGGGCTGTAGAGCTGGCCCAAGTGTGAGGGTCAGCACAGCCCAGAGGACCAGGACCCTGTGAGCTTTCAGTTCTAAACTGCAACCCAACTTCCTTGTTCCTAACTTCTCTCAAAAGAAGGAAAGAGAGACCCACGCAGGACATTTCATTTTTTCATTTTGTGTGCAGCATACTTCACTCTCCTGTCATGTTTGTATACTCTCCTGTGACACCTTGCAAAGCCACCGTGATGGGCCCCGGGTGGAAGGGTAGGGGCACTCAGCATGTCTTAGGGCCTCTGTGCAGCACCCAGGGCACAGGCCATGCTGATGACACTGATGCTGAGTGCCCATTCTCCCTTAGTTCTCAGGGCACCCCACTGGTTCTGAGGCCACAGTGCCCTACCTCCCTGCCACACCCCCTGCCCTGCTGCAGAGGACAGCAGATGGCAGAGCACACAGAGCTGTCTCTCATTCCAGTTCTGATGTAACTCTGTCTATAGGCCACTGCCCATAGCCTGGCTCAGACAGCTCAGGCCCACCAGGCAGTTCTTCCAATTTGGAGCAAAGAGAACTAATAGCATCGCTGAGCAAAAATAAAGTGCTAGGCCCAATGAAAAACTGCACATTTCTATACAGATATCTTTCTTTGTTGAAGAGTGATGACATGGGTCTAATTTATCATCAAGCCTAAGTTTTTGTATTTACAAATCTCCACTTAGTACCATCAGATAAAAGACAACCTCTCAGAGTTCAAGTCCAAGATCTGCGCTTGCCTGGAGGCTGCAAGCCATGTGAGGGCTGGCACAGAGTCCAGAGGCCTGCTTTGCTTAGTGCTCAGCATTTCTGTCTCCTGGACACATGGCGGCTCCAACCCACAAGTCTACTGCTGACACTGCTCTTCCTCTCGCAGGCCCCAAGTGGTTCCTGTGACTCAGATCCTGCAGCTCAGACTGGGCCCAGGAGACTCTGAGATCCACACCTCCTAACCACAGCCCCGGATGATGTACCTTCAGAATAGCCCAGACTGGGGAGCCTTCCGCCCAACCCCATGCTCCCCTCTGGCTGGTCCCTGCCTCTGCTATGCCTAGGCTCCAGACAGACCAGATGGGTCCCCAAAATGCACCTCAGATGGCTGTAGATACCCAATGTGCTCCTACTTCCTCACAGTGCCTCCTGTGCCCTCTAACTTGATGTTTAAGCCACACAGGTCCTGCTTCTCCCCACTGCCTCTGCCCTGCCCCTAGTCCCTGCCAGCCACACCCTCCCTGGGCCTTGGGTGAGGCAGCCTGTCTATGATGCCACCTCTTGTCTCATTTTACGGCACTGGCATCCCCAACCAGAGGATCCTCTCACTGTGGCCAGCCAGTCTCCCTGCCAAGGAGTGACTCCACAGGGTGGATGTGGTTCTGTGGGGCCGTCCAGCACAGGAAGGCAATCAGTTAGTGCTGAATAAACCAATTCACCTCTAACTGTCTGTTATTCTTCTTTTGCATATATAAGTCTAGAATTTCTGTTCTTTACATTCATTTAATAAATATCCTTTCAAAACAACATTTGGTTATTTATCTATACATGGGTTCCTGGTCCAACTCTCATTCCACAATGGTGACATTTAAAATGTCACTGAAAGATTTCCTTGGTCCTGCCTGAGTACTAGACAGGAATTCCTGAACAAAGTAGACCTTACATGAACAGACAGTAGTGAGCTAGACCTGCTGAAGTTGGGATATTTTGATTGAAGGGAGGAAAGTAAAGGAAAACTTCCTAGGACAGCACTAAAGTTAAGCTAATAATATAAAGAAATGTCTGCATAACCAGGACATCCATCTCAGGACAGACTGGCCCAGGTATTCATCCATCTCAGGATGGCATGGCCGATGTGTTCATTCAACTCAGGATGGGATGGCTCAGGTGTCCATTCATCTTAGGACAGCATGGTCCAGGTGTTCATCCATCTCAGGATAGACTGGCCCAGGTGTTCATCCATCTCAGGAAAAACTGCCCAGGTGTTCATCCATCTCAGGACAGACTGGCCCAGATGTTCATCCATCTCAGGATGATATGGCCCAGGTGTTCATCCATCTCAGGACAGCATGGCTCAGGTGTCCATTCATCTCAAGATGGCATGTCCTAGGTGTCCATTCATCTCAGGACAGACTAGCCCAGGTGTTCATCCATCTCAGGACAGCATGGCCCAGGTGTCCATCCATCTCAAGATGGCATGTCCTAGGTGTCCATTCATCTCAGGACAGACTAGCCCAGGTGTTCATCCATCTCAGGACAGCATGGCTCAGGTGTCCATCCATCTCAAGATGGCATGTCCTAGGTGTCCATTCATCTCAGGACAGACTAGCCCAGGTGTTCATCCATCTCAGGACAGCATAGCCCAGGTGTTCATCCATCTCAGGACAGCATGGCCCAGGTGTTCATCCATCTCAGGACAGAATGACCCAGGTGTCCATCCATTTCAGGATGGCATGTCCCAGGTGTCCATTCATCTCAGGACAGACTAGCCCAGGTGTTCATCCATCTCAAGATGGCATGGCCAATGTGTTCATTCAACTCAGGACAGACTGGCCCAGGTATCCATCCATCTCAGGACAGACTGGCCCAGGTGTCCATCCATCTCAGGACGGCAAGGCTCAGGTGTTCATCTATCTCAGGACAGACTAGTCCAGGTGTCCATCCATCTCAGAATGGCATGGCCCAGGTGTTCATCCATCAGGACAGACTGGCCCAGGTGTTCATCCACCTCAGGACAGCATGGCCCAGGTATTCATCCATTTCAGGAAAGCATGGCCCAGGTGTTCATTTGTCTTAGGACAGACTGCCCAGGTATCCATCCATCTTGGGACAGATTGGTCCAGGTGTCCATCCATCTCAGCACAGACTTCCCAGGTGTCCATCCATCTCAGGACAGCATGGCCCAGATGTCCAATCCTCTCAGGACAGCATGCCAGGTGTCCATCCGTCTCAGGACAGACTGCCCAAGTGTCCATCCATCTCAGGACAGCATGGCCCAAGTGTTCATCCATCTCAGGACAGACTGCCCAAGTGTCCATCCATCTCAGGACAGCATGGCCCAAGTGTTCATCCATCTCAGGATGGCATGGCCCAGGTGTTCATCCATCTCAGGATGGCATGGCCCAGGTGTCCATCCATCTCAGGACAGCATGCCAGGTGTCCATCCATCTCAGGACAGCATGGCCCAAGTGTTCATCCATCTCAGGATGGCATGGCCCAGGTGTTCATCCATCTCACGACAGACTGGCCCAGGTGTTCATCCATCTCAGGACGGCATGGCCCAGGTGTCCATCCATCTCGGGACAGCATGCCAGGTGTCCATCCATCTCAGGACAGCATGCCAGGTGTCCATCCATCTTGGTCCCGGTGTCCATCCATCTCAGCACAGACTTCCCAGGTGTTCATCCATCTGAGGCCAGTGTGGCTGATATGTCCCATCTACTTAAGGACAGCATAGCCCAGGGATCCATTCATTTCAGGACAGCATGGTCCAGGTGAGTCTCTTTCTTATGAAGATGATGGCATTTCAGGAACCAGGGGTAAATGAGGATGCCCCAACCCGTAGCCCAAGCCCACAGAAGTCTCCTGGCCCCAGCATTAGAGCGGCCACAAACCCCTCCCGTCGCAGGCCACTCAATTTAACCTGCCGTGGCTGGTACATGTGTGCAGCGCAGTTCACAGGGCCACGGGGAGAGGAGGGTCGTCACAGGACACCTGTCTGGCCACCAGGAAGCTGCTGTGGCACCGGCCATGTGCACACAGAGCCACGAGGAGTGACAGGTGTGTGGCATCTTCCTCACAGGCATCTGGGCACCCTCTAAGCCCCAGACAAACTGTGTCTGTTTTACCGCCTTGGGCACTGAATCTACAAATCCACGTGCTACCCCACAGTATCCGAGGAACAAACATTTCACTGCAGATCAGAAGGGGTGTGCGCAAATCCAGCTCAGACTGATCTTCCTCCTTATAGGTTTGCTCGTGGTCCTAGGAAACTACGAGCAAAAAAACTTTCCGAAGTGCACCATGGTGAGGCCTCTATTTCCTGCTCCTGCAAGGCCGTGGTGCCCTGCCCTGAGCACCTCAGGCCCAACCATTCAGCCACAGTGGCAGTGTGGCACCACCCACGCCCTCGGCAGCACCTGAGGCTGGTCCACAGCCCCCCAGAAGCTGCGAGCTGCCACAGCAGCAGGCCCGCACCCACTCCCACTGGGCTCTGCGCTGCCGCCCTGGCCTGCTCTCCTGGCATGTGGCTTTGTGTTACCTGACGACTGGCCCATCAGATTTTGAGCTTCTTCGGAGGAGTGTAAAGGCAGCTTTTCTCCTGGAGAGCAAAGAAGAGACAGGTTTAATGTTTTGCCCTCAAGGAGATAAGCAGTGTCCCTTCAACTAGGGAAGCTCAAAATATGACTGGCACATGCACCGGGGCTCTCTCCAGCCACGGCCACAGGCACGCAAGGGGAAGGGGGCTCAGCCACAGGCACGCCACGGTCTCTGAGGGGAGGGACACCCAGCTGCCAGGCACGCCACGGGGAAGGGGGCTCAGCCACAGGCATGGCGCTGCCTCTCAGGGAGGGAGGCCCAGCTGCCAGGCACGCCTAGGGGAGGGGGGCTTGCCACGGTCAGCCACTCTTGACGGCCTCATGACGGCGACTGGGTTGGGGCTGACTCGGCCACCGCTCTCCTGGGGCAGGGCTGGGTGCCACCCTGGGACATGCAGTGGCTTCCTGCGTAAGAGTACCCAAGGCTGCTGTCTGTGCTTTTGCTCCTGGAGAAAGCCTCTAGGGTGGCCCAGTGGGTGTGCTCAGCAGGAAGGGCCACCTGGGACAGCACAGGGCACTGCCCAGCAAGTGCAGACTCTCGGTGAGCAGACGTCTCTTCACAGCAAGCTACAGCAAGGCCAGCTGTTGGTGAACTGGCCCACAGTGGGAGTGAGACCCACCTCCCGCCCCCGCCCTGTCCCCGACCCCAGCCCCGGCAAGCCCGCTGCATGTGAACCCTGCACCACCGGGACTCACAACTCCAACTGTACCTGTTCCACACACTGCACTGAGTGACACAGCTCAGAAAGAGAGAGTCCCCAGGTGAGAAGAGAAGGAGGTGAGAAAAGGGCTGGGTACGTACCGGGGAAAGCGGGGTTGGTCTGTCCGAGGGGAGGAAAGGGGGTTTGCTGCATGGCCAACTGGTGGAGCTTGGTCAACTGCTGGGGTAGGAGGGACATGAGAGCTAAGAAGGTTATTGTCATTGAGTACAAGTCACACCAAATTAAAAAGGCAGTAACAGAACTTTGCACAGATAGAGAGAGAGGGCCATGCGGACACATGGCAGACGCAAGAGAAGGCAAGGACTTGGCCTGGCGAAGCCAATGGAGCCCAGGCTGTGAGCGGGCATGGGGCCACTGCCCAGCATTCGGAGAGCAGCACAGGGAGCTGCCGTCTTCTCTCCCTGGCTCCCTGGCAGCTCCAGCCTGGGCCAGCCGAGCCTCCCTCTCACCAGCTGGTGTGGACAGGAAGCTGGCTGGGGCCAGTGGGTCACAGAGGGCCTGGGAGAGTCTGGGAGCCACAGAGGAAGACGATCTGCGTGTCTAGGAGATTCCAGACCAAGTCACTAGTCACAAAACTCAGGCTAGCCTCTGTGGGATCCAGAGGCTCTAGTTTGCAAAGCTTGCCCTGGCCTCACCTGTGCTAGGCCTGGCCCCCTCCCCTCCCCTGCAGGGCCTCACTTTACCCAGGAGGTGACCTAGGGTTGGGGGAAGGGCTACACATCTGCCTTCTAGTCATCTCCAGGAGCATCTCGCCTCTCCTGGGATTACAGAACACGAGTGCTGGAAGGTTCTACGGAAGGCGTGAGTGAGGGACACCTCAGGCCCTCAGCTGGGAGCCGACTGTGCCCCCAGTCCCTGCAGGCTGCCCCCAGCCCTTCTCCTCCCTAGTCCTTGAGCCACAAGACTTTTCAAGGGGGCTTTGCTGCCATTTTAAAAGTTATTTTACCTGAGTCTCATTTCTTAAATAAAAACTAAAAATAGCAAAAGATAACAGTAAATGTGGCAAGACAAGGCCACATTTGGGATGCTCAAAATTACATCCCCGCTTTGGAGAGCCTGGGACTGCTCAGCACACGGCACGGGGCTCCTCACACCCGGCTCTCCCAAGAGCCACAGGCCTGCCAAGGCTGGACACTGCAGAGGGTGTCCTGGGGCTCAGGAGGGCACCGGGCGAAGCTCCTCTGTGGGGTGATCAGCCCGGCAGGAAGGGAGGCGGCACATTCGGGGAGGGGCATCACCTCCCATCGTTTTCAGAACATCCAACCCAAACACATCCCCGTGTGGTGGCTGCATGTGGACTCCTGCAACCTCCAGCCAGGCAGGCAGCTTCCTCACTGCACAGGGTGTGGGGTGGCAGAAGCTGCCACAGAGGCCACCAAGGCTGGAGGTGTGTGCACTCGGAGCAGAGCTGCTGTCTGCATGCGAGAAGGCCAGATGCTGGGTGCCTGACAAGATCCCTATGCTTGCCCCCCCACCCCTGGAACCCGGGTTCCCAGACACCAGGGAGCCCAAGTCAGGAAGGCATTGACCGCGGTCCCAGCACCTTCCCAGCTCTGTGCTCCTGGGTGGGTTTGCGCTCAGCCTCCCAGGATCCCTCCAAGTTCACCCAGAGTCAAGATGAAGGCCCCTCCTCAGTACCCAGTGTACTGAGAGGATGGGGGCTGCTCCCCAGCCCCGCCCCTCCATGACCCCTGGCCTTGCCAGCTGGTGGGCAGGGCAGGCCTGGCAGGAGGGGGCCGTTTGGTGTGCTGTGGCCATCTGGCCTCTTCATGCCCCCACAGGATGGGGTCCGGTCCCCATGGCAAGCCTGTGGCCTCTGGCACACCTCCGAGTGTAGTGGAGAGCAATGAGACTGTGAGGTGTTTGGTGCCGTGGACTGACTTTGCTTCCAGAGATCTGCCACTGCAGACACAGCTGGCAAGGATTTACACAGGGGCACATCTGCAAAGCAGGCCCTGCCCAGGCCTCTCCGCCTTCCTGGCTGTCCTCTGACCCCAGGCCTGCCCAAGGAGACCTGACTGTATCCCAGACTCAGCAAGGCCACTCCTGGTGCAGCAGGAGAGCTCAGGTCAAGGGTCAGGTTCAGCTCTAAGAGTGCCCTGAAGACTGGGTGCATGTGAAGGCCACAGCAGGGGCTGGAGGGCTGGAGGTGCCCCTGCCTGGCAGGCTGCAGAGCCCAGCTGCTGGCCCTGGAAGACGACCCGGCTCCCATGTGGGTGGCATCTGTGCTGCCCCATGATGTAACGTGAACCAGCCTGCCAGGTTACCTGAGGGGATGTGTGTGCAAGCCCCTGACGAGGGTGCCAGGGAGCCTGTGGGGGAGACGCTGTCCCAAGGACACCAGCTGGTCACCTCCAGGTGAGACGCGAGGCCCTGCGGGCCAGCAGGAGAAAGCAGGTGCATCGGGGTCCTAGTGAAGGCACCCCACCTGGATGGGACACGCCAGGAAAGACCGGGGCCGCCCAGGCAGGGCAGAAGGACTGCAGGGGAGTGAGGCGCTCCCGCCGGGTTCTTACAGTCACTGGATGCTGAGTGGCACAGCCGGGATGCGCAAACCCCCGCCTTCCAGGGGCCAGGCCCAGGAGCTGCCCTATGGCCAGGGAATGCGGCACAGGGGAGGGGGTGCCCCCAGGCTCTGCAGGGGATGAAATGGCTCGAGTCGGCTCCAAGACGGCCCAGCCTGTGGCTGTGGTGATAGGAAGGCCTGGTGGCTCCAGGCCTCAGTTCCTTGAACTGTAAAGTGGGGAATGGATGTGAGTGGCAACTGTGATGTGCTACAGGTGACAACACTGTCTCCAACACATTTGGCTTTTTATGAAGAAGTGACCACACTAGCAGATGAATCTCCTTCCTCCCCACCTATAAACACAGGGGACATCACAGGGAGGCCTGGCCTGGCACAGGGCCGTGCTGGGTAGGCATCTGTGGAGAGAATGGGCGAGTGGGCGCACGAAGGCCAGGACACAGTGGTCACCCGGCTCTGCCCGGCATCGGTCTGGCCACTGCATCTCTTTTGGACTCAATTTCCACATTTTTTAAAGGCGGGAACGGGACTAAGTCTCAAGGGGCCTTCCAAGTTTTGAGAAAACTCTGCCTGTAAAAAATGAGACTTTTGGTTCTCACCAGAACCTCCAAATCACTGAGAGGAAAAGAATAAAGACAGAAGTCAAGGGAGGAGGGGAAGAAAGTCAGACAGGCAGGCAAGAGGGCGGGAGGGGGAGGGGAGGGGAGGAGGACAGGAGGGGGAGCAGGAGCGGGGGCAGGGGAAGTGACCCATAACCTATGTCTCTCTGTAAACTGCCTTTTCCACTTCGCATTGACTCAGAATGTAACACACAGACAACTACTAAAATTACAAGCATTTGTTAAGATGCAACTCAATGAATTATTACAAAACAAACACACCTATGCAACTGTCACTCAGGCCAAGGCCACTTCCATGGTAGTTTTAACCTGTATTCACGTTTCCTCTCCAGTAAAATGTCTGTTTCTGTCCTTCGCCCATTTTTCCTATTGCTTGATTTTTGCTGACTTCACGAGAGCTCCCCGGCATTTCTGATGCCAGCATTTCCGATGCCATCCTGCCTGTTATTCGTGCTGCCCACTTTTCCCCACTCGTCTATGGTGTCTTACGAGAAGCAGTATTCTAAAATTGAGTATCAGTGTTTTCCTTTATGGTCTGAGCTTATGTTTTAAGAAATCCTCCCCTGACCGAGAATACGGCATTCTTCTATATTTTCCCCTAAAACTGCTAAATTCTTCTGTCTTGTGTTGGAGTTCTTGATACATGGGAGATGGTTTTATTTATGGCAGGAAGCAAATTATGACCTGCCGTCCTGGCACTGTGGGGAGTGCCCGCCCTCTCCCAGGCTCTCGTGGGCAGCTTCGTCCCGTCCACATCTCAGGGACGGCTTTCTTCCTGTGTGGGGGGATCCTGGGCTCTCAGGTCTGAACTAGACTTTACTGGCCTCTCACTGCACCCAAACCACACAGTCTGGCATAGTCATCTCCGATGGTAACTGCCTCCTGCACACTGCCTGCGGGCCTGCCTGAGGCCGTTTTACAGCTAACTTGTTTAGATAATGCGAAGGAATACACTAAAATAAGATAAAAAGCATAGTAGTACATAACCCAGTGCTGCTGCGTTTATCAGTGCCATGAAGAATGATGAACCATGCGTGTCAGCATGTGCTGGATGGCTGGCAGCGCAGGGGCTTTGCACCAGCAGCACACACGGGGTAACATGCTGCACGGCACCTTCACACCCGCTACGACGCCACCAGGAACTTCTCAGCTCCCCACTCTCACGCGGCCACCATCGTCTGTGTGGGCTGTTGTTGCCTGAACCATCCGCGTGGTGCGTGACTGTAACTGCTTTGTGCTGAGAGAGTGTGAGCTACGCCATTCTGATTTTTGAAAGATGGTGAGATGCGCTTTACGGTTTGGTATGTGATCAGGTTTTGCAAATGTCTCTGTGAATTCTATAGTGGTGCTGGGTGTAGTGTTCAACCTACATCAACTATGTCAGGATCACGGAGAATTCTGTTGATGCTTTCTTCATACTTGGCTACTTGGCCTGTCATTCATGGAAAGAGAGGTGTGCCAGTGTTCACTCTAATGTGTCAAATTCTCTGTTTTGTCAACTATTTTCTTTACATATTTTAAAGCTGTTTTAAGCATGTACAAATTCTGAATTATTGTAGCTTCTGTGAGCTGAATTTATCAACATGTAATGACTAAAGTTTTTTCTTACAGTCTTGTTTTTTCCCCTCTACTGACATTAGTATTGGTACATCAGTTTATTTCCTGCGTGTTCCTTAGCCTCTTCATTCTTTCACTTTTTTTCTGGGTCCTTATGCTTGAGGTGTGTCTCTTGAAAGGAAAACAAAAAACAAAAAAACTTGTTTTTGCTTGTTTGCTCGTCTATTTGTTCAGCTCAAAAGTACAGTCAGACAGCCTTCATCTTAATGGGAATTTCCTTTCACTTTGATCACAATCATCCCCATGTTTGGACTAATTTTAGACGTCTTGTTTTCAAATTGTCCTGCTTTTCCAGTGGTTCTTTTTTATTTCACTCCTTTTCTTCTGTTGGGTTAGCAGTTTTTCCCTCACTCATTTTAACCTGCCCTCTCACAGACGTTACATATCGGGTACCTTTG